ACACCTGAGCTTGACTGCGCCGTGAAACTGTGGCCTGCGTTGGGAAACAAGGAGAAGTTGAAGTCTGAGCTGACCACGCTCTACCGCCACAGTGAGCTTCACACTGGAAACACTGCCCTGTCTCTGTTGAAATCCATTCACGAGAACAACTTGGAGGAAACGTTTGCTGAGACTGTTATTTTGGTCAAAATAATAGTGACAACTCCGATGACGACATCCGAGTCAGAGAGGAACTTTTCCACCCTCAAAAGGATAAAGACTTTCACTCGCAACACCATGGGACAGCCGCGACTTAACGCATTGGCCATGCTTTCAATTGAAAGCCAGTTGATCCAGCAACTACAGGACTTCATCCCCAAAGTGATAGACACATTCTGTCAGAGGAAGGACCGCCGTGCCGCTTTTCTTTTCAAGTGAGCCTTCAGCTTTGTAAGTTCATTTATGTCATATATTTTGTTGATCTTCTGTGTTTTGCCTCTGCTGGATCGATTGATATTGTGACCTCGATGATGAGTGTCTGTGTTTTCCTTATATTTACAGTCTATGGTGTTTTAATGCTAAAGCATTACGGTTGTTGTTATTGTTAAGAATTACTTTGTGATGGTGACCTTTACTCCATGTATGAAGGTGCATTACTATGACATCCCCACGCTGTGTACGTAAATGTATGCGCTCACAGTGTTGCTCCTGTGGTCTTCAGTATATAATTTGACACTCCCCCTCTCTCTCTGTCCCCCCTCTCTCTCTCCTCCCTCTCTCTCTCTCTCTCTCCCCCGACCTCTTTCTGCCCCCCCAGTTTTGTACACCTAGAAACGCCACTGGAAACGACTCGCTGGTATCTCGAGCTGAGCGCTCATTGGTGGTTTTTTCCACGTGCTGGTGATGAAACTCTCCAATTGGCTGGGCAAAATGTTGTTGTTTTGTGTCAGTTTTACGTCGCCACTTCCATTCACATTTTTCATCATTGTTCCACAATATTTATCATCATTAAATTAATATCCATATATTTTATACTATACTTGCACTGCTTACCGTTTTCATACTTTATATATCTTAGCATATTCATACACTGTTCATACTGCTCTCAGGCTGCTGTGTATATCAAGTGTATTCATACCCCTCACTGTTTATTCATCATTCAATTCATTCTATATTTTATTCTGTAGATTGTGTACATTACTTTTCACTTTACCGCTTGTTGCACCTGGTTAGAAGCTAAACTGCATTTCGTTGTCTCAGTACCTGTAATATGTGCAATAACAATAAAGTTGAATCTAATCTGGAGCAGGAACAAATGTATTTACTTAGTACATATCTGACATTAACGATTAAACACATGTGTGCATTCTTTATAAATGCAAACCGAGTCAAGCCGACTCCGGAGGTGGCGGTATGCACCTTAAAGTTGTTTGCAATCCGCCAAAAAACCGAGAGAAGAAGAAGAAGACGAAGCCGACTCCGAGCATGGACTCCGAGCTGTCCGACTTCAGGCGAGCTTTTTGAGACCTCCCCCGGCTGCAATCGGCTATTCTCGTCTACTTTCGAGTCGAGCCGCAACGCGTCTCAAACAAGCCTAGTGTCTCGCTGGCGTTCGCAGTTCACCGGTAAGGCTACGCAACCGGAAGAGACAAGCAAAGCGGGATAATCTGGTACGCATGGGTGGGCGCAGCGGGCGGTTTGCAGCAAGTATTAAAGTATAATGGCCTTTTAAGATTGGTGTTTCTCCTCGTCGGACGCGCAGCAACTGGTGATTTGCACAGAGGTAAACTGGCATATTCATTGTCCAATCACATTTCGATGACCTGTTCTTAAGCCTGTTCTAATTGGTCATTTATATGTGGTAACTTTGTACGTCATCTGCCTGCACACTGAAGGACTCTGGGAAATGTAGTGTCCATGTTTGGCAATGCTACTGAACCCATGTACTGAACGTTGTGTATTTTGAACGGTTTGGTTAAAGAGCATATTTGTAAAAACATGTTTAAAGAGAGACATTGATGTAAATGGTAGTTTAAGGTATGGATGGATGGATAGATTCTAATTTAATTTCCACCCAGTGAAAAGAGCTACTTGGCTACAGTCCTACCTCTTTACTGCGGCAAACCCTATAGAGAGGCGAAGTCCCGCCCTTGGCCCTTCTACTTCCGCCCCATGGGACCTTATTTCAGAAAAATTGTGTATTGAAGTCAATGGAGAGAGAAAGATTATCTTTCGATCCCGTTTGAATTGTGCCAAGAATTACACATATGATGTTTGTCAATTTAAAAAAATCATTTCCATGTCAACAAAGTCACAGTTGGCTTGAAATCCTGTCTAATATTGCAGTATACTCACTTAATTACAAAAAAAAACGTGTGCAAACCTTTATATATACAGTCTATGGTGCAAACGTGTCTAAAAGACAAACGAACATGGGGAAACCTACTAAGAAGCAAAGTCAGCCTGCAGACGACTCATCTTGTTCTTGTTCCCCCGAAATGGTGATGTCTCTGGATGCTGAAAAAGCGTTTGATCGAGTTGAACGACAGTATCCTATCTATTTTTTACTCTTAACATTTTTGGATTTGAGGATTCCTTCATTTCATGGATTAAACTACTCTACTCTCAACCACTAGCCTCTGTAATCACTAATGGTAAACAATCTGAATATTTCCCTCTTGGCAGGGGCACACGTCAAGGCTGCTGTTTTATCCCCTCTATTGTTCGCCATTGCTGTCGAACCCAAGCCCCCAGGAAGTGCGCCGGACTCAGATGAAAATATTCGTGCTGACTAAACGGCGGTACTACACTTCCGTTTGGTTGCCAGGCCCGGAAACACTTTTTCCCATTGACTTACATGGGGAAAGAGTGGTCTGTAAATCGTTGGATAATTTTTTTTAAACTAAATAAACTACCCAGTATGAACACTTGTATAGCCCTTATTAAAAACATTCGTTCCTCAAGTTGTAATAATGTGCTAATAACGTTATTCTGAGAGTTATTTCCCTCTGCATTATGAACGCGCATCTAACCCACGGGACCGCGCCGCCCGGCACGTTCATGTTACGTGTCTCGACCAATCAGAGCACACTGTGCTCACAGGAAGGGTGCTGGAGCCAGGCTCTGGCTGGAGCCAGAGCCATATAATCAGGGGTGCACATAACTTTTTGGCCCTGGTTCTCAAAGGAGCACCTGGAGATGTTGCTTGGTGCTCATCCTTAAAATGAAATAAATAAACCGGTCTTTATTTGTCAGACACACGGCACAGAACACACAGAGGTGAACACAGAACACACATGCACATTAGCACGACCAGTAATCCTACAAGCTGTCATCACTACCCTCCTGACTGTTCTCCTCACTGTCTTCCTCTCTGTCCGACATGGTAGCTGATGATGTAGGCCTACTACTTTCTCTCTGGTTGAGTCTGCGATTAGCTGCTTGCATCCACAAGTCAACAGCTGGTTTTGGGTCGAAAGTCCAGTTTTAAAAGGATATGTTTGGTTACTGTCCTATAGTATACATTGGAATGATTTCAAACCTGTTTATCCCAATAATTATAAAGGAGTGCCTTGGAAATATGTGTTTACATAAATTGTGACCAAACCGTTTGAACTTAGACTAAAGTGAACTATCTAAACACTCAGAGTTCTTTACCTCACTGAGCTGTAGTTATCAGTCTCTCGGTCTGACTGGAGAGGACTCTCCCTCCACATTATTGTAGAAACATCTTCTTCTTATATCCGCAGCTAGCACCAGATTCTAATAACAACAGCGCCGGTACCGGTGCACCTTCCCTCTCTCCCTCGCTCACTCGCACTTTGGCTGTGAGCTGCGGGCGCCAGACAAGCCAACATCCTCCATTTTCATCACTTACAGCGCCCATCGTACAGGGCAAATGAAACGTGTAACCGGGGTGAAAAGGGTGTTACATTTACTTAATTATGAATGTTGTTACATCAAGGCCGAAAATTAGGATGAGCACCAACGGTCAAAAACATTTTTTTCCCTCCCAGAACTGCCAGCGCAGCGCCTCCACAGATCTGGCGCCCTAGGCGAAAATCAACGCCAGTGCGACGGGCCGGCCCTGAGTTCATATGCAACTCGCAAATATCTTTCTCTCTCTCTTCTCTCTCCTCTCTTCTCTTCTCCCTTCTCTCTCCCTCTCTCTCAATGTTGGTACGCAAATGCGCCTTTTTTCAAGTGACCCGGTGCTCTTTTTTTTGGCCGAGGTGCGCATACGCACCTGCGCACCAGTTATGTGCAGCCCTGCTTATATTGTAAAACGATTTTGAGTCCTTGAAAAGCCCTATACAAATGTATTATTATTATTATACTGAGAGGTATCAGATCTTGCTGTGTAAAATAAGAGGTGTCACTTGTGATGTAGTCTGTGTGGTCTACAGTGAATGTATTCCTGACAGCAACAGGTGATAAGAATCAAAGGTTCCCATAGGATCCCATAGGAAATGCATGCGGGTCATTTTTGACCCACTTATGGAAGCTTGGGGTAGTAATACAAAAACTACAATTTCTTAAAATGTATACAATTTAAATAAAAATGTTGAATGGCAGGATATCCAAAACATGTTTCCTGAGGAATAGCTGGAATATGAAATGATAAAAGAAATTAAGAAAGTAATTACAAAGATACTCTAAGAAAACCACCTCACTGGGTCAAAAAAGACCCACTTATGCATCTAAGGGTTAAAATCCATGACAGTGTCTAGTCTGCACTGCCTGTATAGAATTCAAAAGAACAAGGCGTGGCTTTAATTAAATGACAAGGACAGTAAATATTGCACCGTGGGTTTTATTCTCATTGGAACAGGATGGAAGTCCTGAATTGTCACATAGTAGCTCAACTGGCTAACCAAGAAAACGACTAAACCTAACCACACACCTCTTTCTGCCATGCAATAAACCGTTGGAGCTCACAAGTCATAACAAATAAAGATTGGAGTGAAACTAAATATGCAAAAGTGTATATAGATGATTTGTCTTTTATAAATAATGAGCTCCGTAACTAAATAAACCAATTATTGTGTTATGTATCTAGGGATGATTGCAGGGTGTCAAGACAAGCTGGAAATAATCTTGAGTGAATAAAAAGCTCATATATCACTTATCTCAAAGCCTCACCTGTGAAGAGGAAGAAGATGAGGACCATAATCAACGTGTATCCGAAGTAGAGGAAGGTGCTGGCAGCGCCAACAATTTGTAGCTTTGAGAAGAAGTAATGCACAGAGTAGATGAAGAGATAGACTGCTGTGAAGCCGCTGGTGAGGAAGGAACGCCACCACCAGTGGTAGTCCTGCACACACATTACAAATAATAACATGTTATGTGTACTTGAATTACTATAGGCAAAAAAGTACGAGTATAACATTTATTTTTAACTCATCTTATTCTATTTTACTTGTATATAGTTCACTTAGTCTTGCAACATTCTCTTGCACTATTTCATTTCCACCTGTTTCTCCTTGCACTATTTTTATTGTTGTTCTATGACTTATATATATTTATATTGTATTGTTGGAGGAGCCTGGGTCTTAAGATTTGTATTGCCATAACTACAATGTGGCCACTGTGCAGAGGTCGATAAAGCCTTTGAACCTTTAGACCTTTAGTCAGGAGAGTGACATTAAATAACATATCTTCAAAGGCAAGATCTAGAGAAGAATACTAACTTAAAATATATGAATATATTCATTTGGATTTCTTTCATTTCTACAACAGTGGGACTATGATATTACAATTATAGTATGATTGAAGTATTTTCAAGTTTCAATTGTTTTTCCAGACTCAAGTTTGTGAACTGAGACAAAGTTCTCTGAACATGTGGGTAACTCAGCACACAGGTGGAAGTAGCAGAGCAGGACTGTGGCCTCGGAGCAAGTGATGAGAAGAATAATAAAAACCAAAAACAGGAACCCGAACATGTAGTACATCTGATGTGACCTGAAAAGAACAGAGGCAAACAACATATTACATGATGTACTGTAACAAAGAGCTCAACTACACCTTCCCTTTCAAATCAGGAAATACAGCATGTCTGTGTTCTTACCAAATGCTGTTGAGAATGAAGAACAGTTGGATGAAAATGCAACCAAAGGGCAGGATCCCGCCCATTACGATACCAGGTACAGGCTTTGTAAAGAAAGACTGCTCAGGAATTTGACGAGGGATTTGATTTGTTCTCACTGGTTGCTCGATTGCCTGCATGGCAGCAGAAAGAGAGAGGATTTTATAACAAACTCAAGCATATTTGATCAACAATCAATTATTTCAAGATCATTTGATAAACTCTGAGCTCTAACTCACAGCTTTCTTGAATCCAAAGTAGGCGCCGAGGAAGGTGAGGGGCACGGAGATTCCAAACCACAGAGCCAAAATGGCCACCAGAGTGCCGAAGGGGATTGCTGCTGAGGAACCTTCCACCCAAAGGATCAGGTTCATCAGGAAGAAGTCTGCAAACACAATACTAGGGAAGAGAGAGGGACGGAAGACACAGAGAGGGACAATACATGTGAGCATGATAAAAGAAGTGCAAAGGCATTTACAGCACAACATGAAACCTGATGTACTTATATGATTCTGTTTTCTTCAAGGTTGTGTCTTCCTGGTCGAATGTACTTATTGTAAGTCGCTTTGGATAAAAGCGTCAGCTAAATGTAATGTAATGTAACAACATTTCACTCCAGGGCAGAAACAAAGTAGAAAAATGGAAACCTAAGTAAACCTACCCTGGGCACAAGAGGGCTGTCAGCAACACGTTTGTCTTCCACTTCTCACCTCCGAAAGCTAAAAGCAGAAAACAGAGACATTAGAATGAGCAATAACTCTTAAGACTTTTGTGAAACCGTGTAAGGTGTTTTCGCTGGACTCTTACTTTTGTAGAGGCGAGCAGACACATAGCCAGCAGGCGTTCCCATCAGCACCCAGAGGACCACAGAGCACGTCATGAGGGCCCCTCTGTTGGCCGGCGACAGGAAGCCCAGACAGGCCAGGACTACAGGGGACAAACACTCATCAGTGGGCTCATTCAGCACAACAGTAAACAAATACTTCTACTACTGCTCCTGGTTTTTATACTGTAATACCCCAAACTTGGTTGACGATGTTCTTTTAAAATGTGTCTTCTTGGTGAATCATGTAGTTTAATTGATTGCAGAGGCTCAAGTGGATGTGCTTTAAATCTTGTTCTGAATGTTTTAAGAAGAAATATTTTTCCCATGAATTGTTCTACTGCCCTCTCAATCTGTAGGGATGTCCAATACCATGAAGGCAAATTAAAACCTTGCTCAGGGATTGTTTTTGGATTAAATAATGAGTAAGATAAAAATGTATCTGTTTGTCATGTATGTTCAGCATAACACCTGTGTGATTAATGTTGTGTCCTTTGTGTTAAACATTGTTTTATTAACTACATTTTAATTTTATTTAATATATCTGTGTACATTTAGTTTGCACATAAACCATTTTTAGTTCATATATAATTAATGTTCTTAAATTGTAACTAAGTTGACTAACAAGGCAGCTGTTTAGTTTAATACTGACTGCAACAATAATAATCTGGAACAATTATGTGTGCAAACAAATGGTACACTCCCTGATGTGGTGAACACAAAGATAATTGAAAGTACTGATAGGCAGCCAAATTACTAAGAAGGAAACTATGTATTATAACTGATACAAAACAGTCCTTACAGAGAGTGATGAAGGTCATGATGAAGATCTGGGTGCCCTGTCCAAGGAACACAGACAACAACATTCCTTTCCTGGGGGGCCGGAAAACATCCCCGTGCACCTGCTTCCATCCTGACTCCTCCTGTGCGTCCTCCTGGGAAGAGAGAAAGCAAACAAGCGAGCAACAGTCACTATCAAGGAAGTAATGAATATTTCCATTGATAAAAGTTAAAGGTTAACCCACAACCGAGCAGTGAACACTACCTCACCTGATAGCAGGAAAAACGAGGCAAAGACAGCGAGAACATGGTTTACCAAAAGCTGTAAAATGTGGTTTGAAACTTGTCTATGAATTCACTAAACGTCTTCCTTGAAAGTTGCACAAATATTCACACCACATTTTACATTCTGTTCTAGTGTGCAGGTTTTCTGCAATCACACACCCAAACACCTGATTCAACAACCACAAAAAGGTTCTGGTAAAAGAGCTTCCATTAAGCTTACGTAAGGCACCGAGGATTTTTCCTTGGTCGTTGGAAGCTTTATGAAGTCTGCCTGTGAAATGTAACAAAATATTCATAGTTGTGGGTACTGTGCACCTGGTGTGCTTGGTGGTATTTTACACTGCACAACTAAAGCATTAGCCATGTCACTGTGATGAACACCACCACACATTTAGCTAGAAGGATATTATGTGTAATGTTACATTTTTCAGCTAAATAGAAAAGTATTATCCATGGGATCAAAAACATGTGCAACATTTTAAAGTAACTATTGAAACCCAAATAACATAGCCTCAATAGTGTATGGTCATCAAAGCTTTTAGTATGACTATAAGGTTAACGCTAAAATGGTACCATCTCATTTGAATATTTAATGTGCATGGTGGCGACACGTTGTCCTCTGAGCCTCTGAGGGTGAAGATATGTCGGCAGGGCCGGACTGGGACAATAAGTCAGGCTGGGAATTACACACCCAGCCAGGCCACTACCAGTGTTTTGTGGCATTTTGCTGGATTTATTTGTCAATATTTACAGCGTTGCTGCCCATAGTGATAGCCCTCTAAATCTACTAACAAATAAACATATGGAGATGGGTTACTATTTAAAAAAATGTGCAAATCTATTTAGGAACCTATTCATGTGAACATATTTTAAGTGGGGGTGGACCTCAAATCCTATAGGGGTGTCCGGGGGCATTCTCCCCCAGTAAGATTGTTTTTTAAATGTTGGACTTAAATGCATCAATCTGGTGCATTTTGAGGGGGAAATAAAGAGAGAGACTACACCTATATGAAACAGAACTGTATACATTTAAATAATCATAAAATCCTAAGTATATGGCCATAACCAATAACATAGCATATCCAATATGAAAAAACATTGAAACTTGTTTATTTATTTGTTTTTGGTTCATTTATAGTTGTGAGTGTGTCTGTGCTCCTGAACCAGCCTCTCCTGTCTCCCCCCTGCTACTCTTTGAGGCAGCAGCAAAGACTAGCTTTAGCTCTCAACAAGTTTTTAAAGTTTATCTTACATTTTTTCACCTAGTTAACGTTTTTTTATTATTATTCATCACTCCCCCCTCAAATGGAAATATGTGTTTACATGAATGGTGACCAAACCGTGAGACCCACTGAGAACTAAGTTAACTATCTAAACACTCAGCAGAGTCCTTTACCAATCTCTCAGTCTGACAGGAGAGGACTCTCCTCCACCTTGTTGTTGAAACAGCTCCTTATATCCGTTAGCGCAGCTAGCTAGCTAGCACCAGATGCTAACAACAACAATAGCCTACACGTAACCGGTGCGCGCGCTTTCTCTCTCTCGCTCGCGCCACTCATACACACACCCTCCCGAGCTTGAATGACACACAGAGACCAATCGAGGGCATTAGTGTATGAAAGTGGCCATGTCGGCAGGCCACATCATGTAGACAGCCAGTCACCCTCTGTGAGGCAGAGTCAGACCCACATTTGTGCAGCGTTGCGTTCACAATACATACATAAAAAAATCCTCAGGCCAGCAGGCCACTTAGCAGGCCAGGCCATCGGGAAACCTCCCGGTGCTCCCGATGGCCAGTCCGGGCCTGTATGTCGGGCACTTTCAGTTTCCGGGTCTTTCCAAGTAGTCAGGTTCTCTTTCCTAAGGCTGCACATACGTCGGTCTCCATGTGTCCTCCTCAGGTGGAAAACTTCTTCTTTCTCCTGATCCTTCAGACACCTGAGGAATTCACCAGTTTTAGGAACAACAAAGAAACGTGGTCAACTGTAGGAAATCCTAATGACAGCCAAAATAGTGCATACTTTATGAGGTGAGGTAGCTCCAGCAGGTTTCTACTCAGGTATGTGAACACAGTCCTCTTCAGCTCTACACAGCAGATATCCTGAGCCAGACTAAGGTAGGACCGACAGTTTCCTGGGCTGAGTTCGAGGACTGACAGACACTTTGAGAGGAAGGCCTCAGCCAGGAGATAGCTGCTGACCTCCAGAGTTGGAAAGGGAGAAATATGTTTGGTTTTAGGGTGAATTACAACACTAAGCAAAAGCATGAGATTTCCGAAAGTGACATGTTTAAATAGACGTAGAGAAAGGAAGTCCGTTTACCTGGATGTGGTAGCCCAAATCCTCCTGAGGGACTTTAAACTTATTATGGAAGGAGAACTCAAGAAGATTGTGGAAGACTGAGGAGGACACATGGTCCAGGAGGATGAGGCTCTCTGAAGTCTCCCTCATTCTGGATTGGGACAAGGCTCGGAAGTACTCACTGCACTGTGAGAGCCTCCCAATATCCACCTTAAAAGATGAATTATTAAACCAAGATTGTTGTGGCCTCCAGTTCTATCTGGTTAACTTGTACAGTTTAGAAATGTGTGTTTTGTTGTTTACCTACATGGAATGCACATGTGCTGGTTTGCACTGTAACCATGGTTTCATCTCCATCTCCAGGGTGATATGTGCGAAGTGCCTCAATGGTTTTCCACTCCTCTGAGTCTGATCCTCTATCTGTAACACCTGGGGATGCTATCCGATTTTTGGCTGCTGGAAAAGCTCCCCATAGTCTTGTAAGAACATATATGAGCCAGAAGCGTAACCCCTCTATGAATATGATAACACATTGCCTGAGAGGATTCATCTCATTGACGGTGTCAGATCTAAGTGAAGACAATTATAACAGTTTTAATACAGCCTGTACCATTTTTTTTGTTTAAACTCCACAGGTTTTAAGATGCTTTGCACCATACAACCAGTCCTACAATCACACATTCAGACTGTAAGTGCTACAAATGAGAGGAGACAAGCTCCCAATATTACAAGCAGCCACAGCAATGGCAAATAAAGGACAGAACGAGAACGACTAGTTGAGTCCATGTTTCACTGACTCATCTACTTTTCCTTCTGCAACGCTCACCGTCAAATACTTAAGACAACATGCCAACAGAAACAGCTTGTTAAAGAAGTTGGTGCAATGCAACGCTAGGCAAACTTCAGAGTTCCTGTTTGTTCTGCTACAGATCCAGTGCATTCGGAGGTCTCTCGATCTTTGAGCAGTGCAGCTCTTTCTGGCTGGTCTATTTTTGGCACTTGGAGGTGGGACAATAGTCAACCGTCTGCGATGAAACATGGTCTCCTTCAAGCTTCACGTCATCATGGGGCAACTAAGTTACTGCTGCAGTTTTAAAAGTAACTTTATGTTTCACAAAATGTATCGATACATTTGTAAAAATGTATTTTAGGGCCAATGTATTTATGAGAAAAACAAATGCATTGACACAGGTTCTAGACACATGTTTATTAGATTTAAACTAGTAGTTTGTACTACCATAACCAACATAAAACAGATGACACAGTATGAACTTCAACAGGATGCGCTGCTTTAAAAAACAAACTTCTTTTCAAAAGTAAACTGACAAAGCTTTGTGTCAAATGTAGGACATTCATGACATTTGGTGAAGAAAGTAGCTTCTGTCAAACCCAGGAGACTGTCTAGATAAACATAATGGCATTCAAACAAAAAAATAAAAAGTTTAAATAATTGTCGGATCTATTTAAGCAATTTAGCTTAATTTAGTTGACTACAAGTGCCAGATGTACATTTTAGTTACATAAAACCATAGATGAGAATTACATGTTTACCAGATGATGTTACAGTCATACAACGATAAATAGAAGAGAAAAGGTAGCAAGACAGTTACAAAAATGTACAGTTAATAAATCCAATATTACTGACATAAACATACACTTGTTTATTTACCCATTAGAACAGTTACATTGATACTGTACAAAATAGCCCTTGTGGAATATGTTGTTGAATGTGGGTAATTAAGCTTTTAACTTCACATTATTGGACCTCCAAAGAACCCTAATGCAGAATGGACCTCAGAAAAAAAGGAGCAAGGCAGAATAAAAGAAAAAACTCTAAAATAACTCAAATTTAGAGACATGACCAGCATTGTTTAGTACAGTAGCCGACCATCATGTTGACTGAGCCCCTCAAATGCCCCACAACCAATTTGAACAAGCCGTAGAGCTTTACCTGCTCTAAAATAACATGTACATACATTACATGTATATCTTCCACCCAACATTGCTTGTAGTAAGCAGAGTTGCATACTACTAGTACATTTTATATCAAAACGTGGGAATCAGGAGAAGGCTTTCTTTAACTTGAGGTAGCCATCAAAGCGGCACTGGGCATAGTCCTGCAAAACAATATAGTCTACTTTAAGGCAACATTTACAAATGTAACATCAAATATGTGACTGACAAAAAATCATTATGTTTATTGAAATAAATGTACCATGCCACTGGTGTTTGTTTTGTAATGTGAAATAAAATAAAATTCCTTACCATGTATCCAAACTCGATCTTGGAAATCTTTGCTTGAATGATGGACCACAGCCCCCAGAGGAAATGTGAAGCTAATGCATACCTACAAATCACAGCAAGAAAGGACCAGGGCTTTAGTGATTCTGCTATAACCTTTAAATCATACATAGCGTTGCTGTAGATCAAGTTGTACCTGTTAGCTTCAATTATCATGGCCTCCTCCTCCTGTGTCTGGTCCTTGGACATGTCAGAGTGTCCTCTCTGCTGTGCCAAATAACTTCTGATGAAATGAAGCTGAAATTAAAAACAAGTGACACGTATTAAAAAAAAAAAAAAAGTAGAAAAGTGACATCCTCTTTGTTTACACATTTTATGATTGCCTATATCTGCATTATCTAATGTACTGCACATTGCCATCAGGAAAACCAAGTGTCTTTACTCAGAAAATGGAGTAAAGCAACTTAAAAAACGAGTGACCCCTCCCCCTCCCACCCAGCCTATATCTTCTTCCAGCTTCTCTCCTCTGGATGGCGCCACAGGCTCATCTTAATAAATACCACCCAATTCATAAACGGCTTCCTTCCAACAGCACCTGTGACACTTAACTCCCCTCACTACTCCACCTTACCACAAGGTCCTTTTTACTGACCCATATTGTTCTGCAGGCACTGGAAAGATCTCAATATTATTTTTGCTGCTGCTTTTAATTGATATATTCATATCTCAC